AAAAAAACCCCACCCCCCCCCGGGGGAGGGGGGGGGGGGGGGGGGGGTGTGGTGTCCCCCCTAAAATTCCATACCAGACTCTTGATCCGAGCATAGGCCTGGCAGGGCCAGAAAGAAAGAGCGTGCCCCCCTCCCTCCCATACCAGGCCACATGCCCTCGGCACTGGGAGGGTGCTTTTTCAGGGTCGCCCCACCATCCCTGGGGCGTTGGTTGTGGGGGTGCGAGCAGGGGGCTTATTCACATCAGGGCACCCCTTAAATAAAGGGGCACCCCGATGCTTCCTCCCCTTGTGAATGAGTAAGGAGTACTTCTATACCTACATATTCCTTTTCTCTGTCACTTTGCTGCAACGAATATTCATTCGCAATTAACGAATATGCGTCTAAATCCGAACCAAATTGACTTTCGGACCTGAACGAAAAGACAAAAAATCTGAAACTAAACTAAACTAATATTTTGCCGGTTTACATGTCTATGCTGCGCTGATTAGTACTGTGTGCTTACAGACTATTTAGCTGCTGGCTACACATACTAAGGGGTCTATTCACGAAGCTGCCGTGGGCAGCTGAGTGAATGACCGATCTGAAGTGAAGTGAGCCGAACACTGTTCGGCTATTCACTTCAGGCTGGTACGGCTAATTTCAGCCGTACATCGGCTTGCTTAAAAGGAAAAAAAAAACCTCTCCCGGGCGCTATGGGAGCCTCCCGAATCACAGTAAATGCGATTCGGAAAAATAATGAGCGGATTTGTAGGCAACAAGAGGAAAAGAAAAAAAGGTCTTTGCTGATCCCACTATTTATTACATTTGTCACATTGTGATCCTATTTACAGTATGGCTTTTTAAGTTATTATTTTTCCGAATCATCACATTTACTGTCAAACAAGTTTAGCACATCTTTTCACAAAGGATTTGTGCACAAATTTTGGTTTTATTGGAATCCATGGAAGGCCTCACAAAGTCTAGAGCTGCCTTTGCTTCAATACATCGATTATCTAGTACAGCCCATTGTAACATCTGTTCCACCATATATTAGAGATACTACACATTTACTGTAAACATTATGTGGCCATAGTTGGGAACCTATTTATGGGTATCCCTGGATGTGTGTTTACTGTATATGCCTGACATACAATTTATGCACAGTTCATTGTGGACAGTACACTTCTTATGCTTGAACACAATTTTTTTTCTTTTCCTAATTTATTTTCCTTAACAAGTAACAGGGACAGCCATGGGGGAAAATTATGCCTCTAGCTAAGCAAAATTAACTATGATCTATTGGGAGGACATATACATATGGAAGAAGAACCCCTTATTTCCCAGGTTTTTTTATATTAATCTTTGATATATAAAATATTTTAATTATTTGAGATGGCCCTGCAAATCATATTGAATCTTCCATTAAAACAGATGTAAAGTAATAATAAAAAAAATATTAGTAGGTAGGAAGACATGCAAAGTGTCTTCTGCAAAACAACTTCCTCTTTTCTCTAGCAAATAATTATTTTCTGTGTGCACTGTATGGTGCATAAGCTGTGCAGTGTGCACGCTCATCAGTGCGCACTGATGCTGGGGTGTGGATATAACTCATGTGTGCATGCACTGTGTCAGGCAAATTAGGTGGTCACCTCAGCCCACGCTGGGGCTCCGCGGCTGCCTAATTTATGTTAGTATAGTAGAGAGCAGCCCAAGGCTATCACTGGCAGGAGGATCGCAGGGGAGAGGGTGAGAGCCAGGGGGTCAGTGGATACAGAGGTTGTGGTAGGAGAATGGGCACAGTGGTGTTGGAAGATGGAAGATTTAACATACCACTCACTGGAAAGGTAAGTATAAATCTCTCTTTTTGAATTCTTTTATAAGAACATCAAGGTAACTTAAGTTTCCTCACCCCTTTTTCTGTTTAACCAATCTCATATTTTAACATTATTAAAGGACACTCTATTGATGCCTGACAACCATAAATATGTACAAAACTGGGAAAAAGAACTCGGATCAGATCGGCAACTGAAAGAATAGCAACAAATATGGACATCAATAGCTACTTGTTCTATTAATATAAACTCTTTAGAAACTGCATTTAAATCTTTAACTAGATGGTATTTGGTGCCTTCTAGGTTGGCTCATCTTTATTCGACGCACTCCGATCTCTGCTTTCGAGGATGTGCCTGGTGGACATGTCAAAAATTGAATACATTTTGGGGGAAAGTATTTCAGTTAATTTGCGATCTCTTGTCTGTTAATATTGAAAGAGATCCATGGATAGCCTTACTACACTATAAACCCCCCTCGCTTACTAACTTACAACATAAATTAGTAATGTACGTTATGTTGGCGGCCAAACAGACCATTGCCCATGCTTGGAAGAAACCGTTTGTACTTTTTTAAAGAGGTCAAAAGAAGGCTGGACTTCTTTTTTCTCATTGAAAAGTTGACTAGTATCCTATTAGACTCAAATAGGAAATTCGTGAAAACGTGGATCGCTTACGCTCATCCAGCACTTTCTATGGAAAAGCGTGACTTCCCTGTAATAGATATAATCTGACATTTTCGTGTCTTTTTTCTCCTTTTTTGTTGTTGTTGTTTTGTCATGTTGTATAAAATGATTATGCTGGGTTTTTTTTAGTGAAGGTATTGTGGAGAGTGTCTCGTGAGGAGAAATTTATAATGTTTTTTGCTCTATAGACTATTGTTGTCCGTCCCCTTTTTTT